TTCACTACAAAGAGGGAGATCTCGTGGACTATCATCGCCCGACCACCACGAAAGACGACTGGGGTGGATGGAGTGGTCCATACCCGGTCATCCGCAACGAACCTGACCGAGGCCAGGTCATCGTGAAGGTCGGCAATCGCGAAGTGCGAGTACAGTATCCTGACTCACGACATACGCTGTACATCGAAGCACTGATGGTCCGCGAGATAGGATCGGACAATACGGCCCTTCGGACAGTATTGGCCTTTATTGCCGGTCTGCCAGCGGGGAAACCCGCTATGACTTTCGGATACCTACCAGCGAAACAGGGCCGACTGCAGATGACTGCTGCGAGCCGGCTTTCGCCTAAGGTGCACTTGGCTCTTCAATATCTCATTCGCAACTATTTTCGCATTGAAAACGTGGTTGCTGTACGACTTGCTAAGAGCCTGACTAAGTTGCCTGCTGCACCATATGCAGACAGCTGTACACTAGTGCACTATGATAACGATGTGACCCCTGGCTTTCATTATTATGAAGCTGATGGCACTGCCTTGAACATCTACGACATCACAGGGTCTACACATTCACGCATCATCCAGTGTCTTAAATCCAAGAAGCCGCTTGCTGGATTCGACCGAGACCTCACTAAGTTTGAGGAACTCGCTGATGGTTCACCACCAAGCGAGCCACCTCCAGCAGCTGCTCCTGAGCAGCCTCCTGCGGCGAATGATGGTCGGCTCCCGACCATCATAGAGGAAACAGAAGAGGATCTGGATGTCTTTGTCTTGGAGTCATGGTATGCTGAACTGATGGATGACAGAACACTCCTTGAAGCTGACACAGAAGAAGTCATGCACACAGTTCCGACATACATGACAGACTCACAGTGCGTGTTGGTCTCTACGACCTGTGAAGATGTGCAAGGCCACTTGCCGGTGCGGGGTCACCCGCCAGGATACGACATGGACACCTCTTACTACGTCCCTCTGTGCTCCACTGATCCGGACAGCCACTGAGATCTGGACTCCGACGAGCACGGGAAGTACATCGAGCTTTGCTTCACAGCAGACATGTCCAAAGTCGTCCTGTCCGAGCAGCAACGCCGATTGTTGGATGACAGCAGCGTCGCAACTATGCGAGTATATGTTAGTGCCGCCTCCAAACGTGCCGCGGTCGTCAAAGAAGACGACCTACTCACGAAGGCCGACATTCAAGCGAATCCGGTCAAAGTTTCCAAAGCCCTTTACACAGAATTGAAGACTTGGCTTGACAACAAATGCTTCCAGATGACTGACTTGAGCAAAGCGTCGAACATCATGACTTCACGCTATGTATACAAATGGAAGTTTGTCAAGAACGAGAAGGGCGAAATGGAACGGACGATCAGGTTACGCTTGGTACTTCGTGGCTTCATGGACATTGAAGCCTTCGATGTCGAAACCTTCTCTGGCACGGCAAGGAGGTCAAACCAGAGATTGCTCGCAAGTTCTGCTGCATGCAACAAAGCTTGGATCATCGCTTCCCTGGACATCAACATGGCTTTCTTGAAGGGACTGACCTATGGCGAGCTCGCCGCGGCAACTGGCGAGAAAGAGCGTGTGGCGTGCTTCACACTACCTCCTGGGTCAGCAGCTGTCCTTCGCACATTGCCAGGCTTTGAGTCATATGACGAATCAAAGCATTTTCTTCGGTGCCCCAAGCCGGGGACTGGCACGAAGGATGCTCCCAGGGCATTCTCGCTGAAGATCAGGTCCATCACCAGGAGCTTTGGACTACAGCCTACTTCATACGATGAAGAGTTCGAGATGAGTTCAAACATCTTGACAGCCAAACACGTTGATGACATCAATATGACTGGGAAGGAAGATTCCATTGACAAGTACGTCAAATGTGTTGAAGATACGTTTGGAAAGTGCAAACTGAACAAGCACACATACACAAATTGTGTCGTTCGGTACAACAAGACCGATGATGGGAGCGTCACTCTTGATCAGGACGAATACATCAAACAACTTCGTCCTATCACACATCCAGAGCTCACAGGCGCTGATCCTGAGAGCAAAGCGACAAAGACGATTTCTGATATGTTCGTCAGTCTTCGTGGCGCTCTAGCCTATGCGTTGATCACGCAGGTATGGCTGATGGTCTATGTTGTTTCACTGCAACGTATCCAGGAACCGACAAACATCCAGGTACGACGACTGAACGCGGTTACCAGGAAATTGCAGGCAGGTCCGAAGAAGATCGTGTATCAAGCTATGACTCCAACAGGAGAGGTCGACCTGCATAGCGATTCTGGCTATCGTCGTCTCAACGGAGATGAAGACGACGAAGTCAAGGGCTACGGTATCCGCGGGGCTAACCTGCTGAGGCGTGGCCACACGCAAGCGGGGAAACCCGTCGTGCACCTGGTGGACGCATACTGCAAGTCTCATCGACTGCAGGTGCGTTCGAGCTACTCTGCGGAAACACTGGCAGCTGCCCACAACTTGGAAGACTGCTACCCGACCATTGTAACGCTCCACGAGCTACACTCGGGACCATTGACCCCCACACAGTTGAAGAACATATTGGAACTGGGTGGTCTATGTATCAAAGTCACTCTGACTATTGATGCCGAGTCTGTCTTCAAGTCTTTGTCTAGCAAAGATCTGAAGAAGCCCACAGAATGCACTCTGCTTGGGCACATCAGCTGGATCCGCCAGATGATGGAGCGCGGAATCGTTGAAAGCGTCCAATGGTGTGACACGCGGGATATGACTGCCGATGGTCATACCAAAGGTAGTATTGACCGCGCGTTGCTCCTACAGGTAATGGCCGGTCAGCAATCCTTCAAGCACGAGCTGAAGAAACATACTCCGTATAGGGCGGGCAGGTCGTCTCAGGACGGCCCTGCCTCCCGAGCTAGCGGGGAAACCCGCGCGCAGGTGCGCTTTAGTAGCGAGGAAACTCGCCGGTAGCGAGGCTACTCGCGCGCCCTTGCCTTGTAGGCAGCCGCTGTTGCCTAGCACTGTTTTTTTCCGCGTAATGTAGAAATTCGGTGCTTGCTCGTCTCCTCCCCCTCCAACTTTAAACGGAGAGGGTTAAAGGCGAGATGTAAATCGAGCGTGCACCGCTGCCGTGCCTGGCTCAAGCCGGGCCCGGCCGAACATGTGATTGTGCCTCACCGAGGCGCACTACTCGCATCTGAGATCGGAAAAGACCTTTCTATTGAAGATGCCCCTTCTATCCTTTACTCCAGATCCCATGTTTCATCTTGCTCTCTTGCTCATGCGGTATGAGCCAAAGCCTGGGATATGGGAGCGCCTAAGGCGGAACATATATCTTGGCTTACCAGTGCGTTTTCGACTGTGCCGACGCTGCTGACGATGATGGTGATGATGACGGCGGTGATGATGACGACGATCGTGATGATGACGGCCATGCCGTTAAGGATGACGACGGCGTTGACGATGACAATTATGACGATGACGGTGATGCTGAAGGTGACGATGACGATGACGATGATGATGATTGTGATGATGATGATGATGCTGATGATGATGATGATGATGATGATGACGATGGGGGGAGGGAGGAGGAGTGAGGAGGAACGCGAGTCGCTGTCGCTTCAAAACGAGGACCCACAACCACAGGATGGTTGGGAATCCTTAATCTCACCTTATTGAGGGGGTCTAAGGACCCTTCTCGGTTATGTATGTATGTATGGATACATGCATGCATTAATGTATGTGTGCATGACTGTCTGTCTGTATGTATGTATGTGTGTATGTATTGGTGGGTGAATACATGACTGGATGAATGTACACGTGTGTATACATATTTGAGCAGATTGCTAGATGTATATATATATACATATATATAATATGTATATACATATATATATATATATATACATTTACATGTGCATATATATATACCTATATTTATACATATATTTATACATATACATACACACATACATATACATATACATATACATATACATATCCATATACATTTGAGCGCACCCTCCTCGCGGACTGGGGCGAGGACGGAGCCACATGTCTCTGACATGGCTATTTCAATCCGAGGCTCCCAGGGCCACCGCAACGGCCGCGGGGGCCCGGAATCAGCTGGACAGTAACATGTATTGAGAACGTGTGCGGCTGTATTCTTTAAAGGACGGTGACGGTTTTGGCCCTCTTGACGTGAGAATCGGCCGCCGGAGCTTGTTCTGGGAGCTAGTTCTTGCCAGGAGTTCGTGGATAATGCTGCCGTCGGCGACGAGGCCCCCCCCTGGGGGTCGCAAACAGGGTGAAGAGCGCTCAAAAACCTCGATCCTGAATGCCGTGGTGACGAGAGCATGAAGCCCACAACTCGGCGGTGCGCCGAGGGGGGACGTGAGCGGGGGCAGGCCTCAGAAGGCGGTGTGTCTTCTCAGAAACCATTCAGCCTTCTTTACAAGCTTTCTGAGATGTCAGAGAAGGATTAGAAAGTTTCTCAGAAGGTCCGAGGCCTTGTGAGCCTTCTGGGGAGGCCCGCCCCCATCTGCCTTTCCCCTGGCGGCGCCGCCGACAAAAGGAATGAAAGCATATGACCAGGAACCGAAGCGTTCCATCACGTGCGAGTATGCGCACTCCGCGAACGTTCGTGACACTGCCCTCGCGGAGTAGAGGGGCTGGGCGTAGTCATGGATCTTTGTACGTGGCTGGGCGCAGACGTCCTCTGCGGGGCTCCTTTACTCAGAGCCTAGAACCTCCCGACTGTTAACCACAGTGATCCAGTTGTTGCGCAGGAGAACCAGCCGAAACCGCCGAAGACAGTCGAAGACCGTCAGGAAACCGCCGCAGACCACCGAAGACAGCCAGAAGACCGCCGAAGACCGCCCAGGGCTGGTGGGTAACAAGGGGTCAATTGTCGAAAACGTGATCGAACCTCGAAGGGCCTCGACAAATTTCAAACCTCGAAGGACCTCGGTCTTCGAAGCCTCGAGGAAAGGCGCGCGCGCGGCGACAACGCAGCCCGCAGCCCACGAGGACAACCTGGTACAGGGCACGTACATGCCGCTCATGCCGGCGGCGAGGCCAGGCGCGTTTCGGCGGGGTACGGGGAGGAGGAGGAGGATGAAGAGGAGGAGGAGGAGGAGGAGGAGGAGGAGGAGGAGGAGGAGGATAAAGCCAGGCATGGCGTCTGGGGTATGGCCTCTTTTTGGTGGATTGAGGAAGATGAGGATGGAGGATGCACGGCGGAGGAGGAGGAAGAGGGGGTTGGGAAGCAGGAGGTTGAGGAGGATCGGAGAAGAAACAAACAACATTCATTTTAATTGTCGGAGCACCACGTGGATTTTTCGGATTGGCGTTGGATCCCCGTGGCGGCGCCCCTGGCGCCGCCCCTGCTTCCAGAGGCGCGCCAGAGAAGGGGGAGTCCAGAGCCGATGCGACAAGTCTGCGCGGACTTCCCAGCGTGTATATTTCACACACGTTTCCCAAATCATTGCCTGCACTTCGGGGTTTGTCATGCCTCTTCTGAGGAACTCGGCCTGGCTGGCGGTCTGGCGGTTCCGTGGTCGCCGTCGCTGCCCCATCGCCACCTCGGTGCCGCCCGTCATTTGGGCCTGGGTGGCCTGTCTGGAGGTTCCGTGGTCGCCGTCGCCGCCCCGTCGCCGCCTTATCGCCGCCCGTCGTTTGGGCCTTGGTGGCGGTCTGGCGGCTCCGTGGCCGCCGTCGCCGCCTACTCGCCACCTAGATCGCACAACGTAGTTTGCGCCACATAGATTACACATCACATCTTGCACCACGAAGATTATGCAAACATAATTGGTTCTCGTATTGCAAGTTGCGTATGGCCTTGCCTCATCGCCCATCGTAAATCTGAGCCCGTACCTGTCCAGCCGAGCCGGTACCCCCCCCCGCCATCCCTTTTCTTAAAGATGCGACGCCCGCGCGTTCATTTATCAGAAATCCTTAGGTGTCAAGAATCCATGGCAAAAGCTGAGACAAAGAGCGAACGCAAGCGTTGTCGCGCGCTGGCCGAAATCCTCCAACAATCTTCGGTTGCGTAAGGGTTTCAAAAAGGGTTTCCAAACCGAATGTCCAGGCATAGTTAAAACAAATTGTTTCGCAATGCGGATTTTCAAAAACGTTTGCTTTGCGCGTTCTTGCGATTTTTGCAAACAACTATAGGTTGCCCTTGCGTTTCAGGTAATGCTACTAACCGGGCTTCGCGTGGGCGCAAGTCGAAACTGTTCGAAATTGTTCGACCGCCGTCGCGAGAATTCCATTTGCAAAAGGTGGGACGAAGTGCGCGCGCGCGTCGTCGCGCGCGCATGCCGCGACGAAAATCGTCGTCGAACACCTTCGGTTCTGTAGCTGTTCCAGAAAAACGTGCGCTCGCGCCCTTGCGAATGTTTTACGAAATCCATAAGTTGTTCAACGTGTAAATGGAACTATGCCATACGAGCTTCTGGCGCCGCATGCCGAAATCATTCGCACGCGCCTGCTCGCGTGCTGGGGGGGGGGGGGGGGCACGATCCGTTTCAAATTGTGCCACGCGGGCCACTCTCGCGCGTCGACCGCCCGCGCATGTCAGACTCTGTCCAAAACCTTTGTCGCCGACGCGAGGGCTCCGTCGTCGTCATCGGCGCGATTAGCATCGGCGCCCGCGCTGGCCGCGCCGTCGTCGTTGCCAACATCGCAACCAGCGTCGCCACCATCGCCGTCGCGCCCACCGTTGCCGGCGTTGCCATGATACTGCGCCTACCCCAGCCGCCGACTCGCACAGCAGTGCCCGCTGGGATGTGCCCAGCGGTCAGCGCCACCACGGCCGCGTCGGTTGCGCCGAAGGAGCTGGCCGCTGCGCGCGCGCTCGGGTTGGCGCGGCCCCATGGATGCACTCGTCGCAATCGCCGCCGCATGGGTTGCGCAGACCAAGTTGCGGGCGGGCGAGCGGGGCGTCTGCGAGCGCATGAGACGCGCTAACTCGATTGAGACAAACCTCCTTTCGAGAAAAGATTGGCTCCACCCCCTGGGATTATCGCCCCCCTTTCGCATTGCAATGCGCGTGTGATTCTGGCCCGTCGCCCATCCGAATTCTGGACTCAGACCACCCCAGCCCAACCGGCGTCGGCCCCCTCCGCCAGCCTTTGCATACTGTCATTTCAAAAGTCTTAAGTTCTCAAGAGCCCCACGCAGAAGCGGCACGAAGTGCACGCGCGCGCGTCGTCGCCCAGAGCGTGGAATACCCACCCCCTCTTTCGCTTCCAGGCAAAACCAAGTCATACCACGCGCCTCCTCGTCAAGCGGCCTGACCAGCACAGGCCGTAGTTTGGCATCGCTTGGTTTCTCTTGGAAGCGAGGGCGGCCAAAAGCGATGTAGGTTTGTTTGCCCCCTAGTCGCTCACGCGCGCCGAAGCCCCACAAAAACTGCTGTGTCGCAAGGGTGTAAAAAACGAGCATCCAAAGAAATATGCGCAGACGCATGTCCTCGCAACCCAGATATTCTCCGAGCGCAAGACTCGCCCCTTTTTGCCAAGAGTTCAGAAAATCGTGCATGTGTATATATAATCGCTCGCGCGTCTGCGGTTTCTTTATTTTTAACATGAGTGTTCATGGCGCTCGGCCATGGAATTCTGCCAGACGGGCCTCTGGCGCCGCGCGCCGAAATCATTCGCGCGCCGCTGCGCGCGCGCGGGGGGGGGGGGGGGGGGGGGGGGGGGGGGGGGGGGAGGGGGGGGGGGGGGGCGCGATCTGCGTCAGACAGTGATGCCGCGCGGGCCACTGTCGCGCGTCGGCCGCGCGCGCATGTCGAACTCTGTCAAACACCTTCATCGCCGACGCGAGGGCGCCGTTATCGCCGCTGGCGCGATCATCATCTGCGCCGCCGCTGGCCGCGCCGTCGTCGGCGTCGGCATCGCCGCCAGCATCGCCGCTATCATCGCCGCGGCTACCGTCGTCGACGTTGCCATGATACCGCGCCCGCCCAAGTCGCCGACTCGCACAGGAGTGCCCGCTGGGGCGCGCCCAGCGGTCAGCGCCACCGCGGCTGGGTCGGTCGCGCCGAAGTAGCTGTCCGCCGCGCGGCCCGCGCGCGGGCTGTCGCGGCTGCGGACATGCGCCAGCCAACGTCAAGCACTCCTCACAATCGCGCAAGTTGCGGGCGGGTGGGCGGGATGTTTGCGCGAGCAGTGGGGCGGGCAATGTCAAGTTGAGCCTCGATTGACTGCGCCGCGTAGATGGCCTTACGTCGGCTCTTCTTTCTCGAGAGAGCATTCCACCACCACCCCGAGGGTGGACATCTAAATCTTCTTCTTCGCATTGCAATGTGCAGATCATCCTGCCTCATCGTTCATCTTTAATTTGAACTCCTGCCATCCACGGGGCGCCGGCATTCGCCCTCCCCCCCCCCCCCCGCCATCCCCTGCCATAAATATTACGCGCGCGCGTTCGTCTATCAATAACCATCAATTTGGCAAAATGGGACGGAGCGCGCGCGGCGTCGCGCGCGCATGCCGAAATGCGCGCAACACTCTTCGGCGTCGTAAGAACTTCAAAATCGAGTGCCCAAAACAACGCGCAACGCGCATGGTTTCGCAACGTTCGTTTTCATTTATATTATATGTTAAAATACTGGCGCGCGCGCTCCGGCGAATTCCCGCTGCAGCATTTTTTCTAATCATTTTCAGGACATGCGACCACAACTGCTTCGCGCGAGCACGGCGCAGTCGTTCGAACGCCCGAGCACGCGCATTGTTGCGATAATCCTTTGTGGCATATGCGACGAAGTGCACGCTGGCGCCGTCTCGCGCGCGCGCCAAATTTCACGTGGCACCTTCGGTCCAACGGTTTCAAAACCGAGTGTCAAAATTACATGTCAAAGCATATGGTTTCGCAACGTCTTGAGGGAGCCGCTGGGTTCTCAATGTTACAGCGGAATTACGCCGAACGAGCCTCCCGCATGCCGAAATCACGCGGGCACCCTTGCGCGCGTGCTAGGGGGGGCGCGATCTGCGCCCAATGATGCCGCGCGGTCAACTCCTCGCGCGTCGGCCGCGCGAGCGCGTCGAACTCTGTCCAGAACCTTCATCGCCGACGCGAGGGCGCCGTCAGCGTCGTCGGCGCGATCAGTATCTGCGCCGTTTCTGGCCGCGCCGTCGTCGCTGTTAAAATCGCCACCAGCATCGCTAATATCACCATCGCGTCTACCGTCGTCGGCGCTGCCATGATACCGCGCCCGCCCAAGTCGCCCACTCGCACTGAAGTGGCCGCTGGGGCGCGCCCAGCGGTCAGCGCCGCCGCGGCTGCGTCGGTCGCGCCAAACGAGCTGGCCGCCGCGCGCGCGCGGGCCGTCGCAGCCGCAGACGCGCGCCAGCCAGCGCCAAGCGCTCATCGCAATCGCCGCCGCTTGGGGTTTTGCAAGCCAAGTTGCGGGCGGGCGGGCGGGACGTTTGCAAGGGCATGGGGGGTGGTCGAGCGCGGTGCAGGTTAGTAGATTGCACCGCGTAGGTAACACCGCGTGAATTGCACCACGTCGGCTGCATCACGCCAGTTTCACACGTCATTTGTTCTTTCTGTAAAGGGGGCATCAGGATCTACTTCCCACCTGGACTTGACGGTTCATGTTTTGGCATTGTAAGTTACGTGCGATTCTGGCCCATGGACCATCCAAAATACGAACGCGCACCTTCCCAGGCAGACCTTTCATGGCTCCCCCTCATCGCCGGCAGCAGCTTTTTTGCGCGCGGTCGATTAACGAGCATCCGCCGTTTTCAAAAATCCCCTGCAACAGATGGCGCGAAGTGGGCGCGCGCGCGTCGCCGCGCTCGCGCCGATACCGTTCAAATAATGTCCACGTTACGCAGCGTTTTCTATGACGAATGGTCCGACAACAAATGAAGAACACGTCGTTTTGCGACAGCGGTGGAAAAACAAGCGTGCGCTCGAACCCCAGCGAGTTTTACAGCGAGTAGGCTTCCAATCTGTCATGTGCAACCAAGCGCGCCTCGCGCGCGCGTCGGAACGTTCGATCGCGCGCGCTGTCGCTAGAGTTCCGCGTAGAAGACGGTTCGACGCGCGTGCGCGTCGTCGCGCGCGCGCCGGAATCTTTCAAACATCGAATGTTTCGTAAGCTTCTTACACCGAGTGGTACGATAACTCGTAAACGCGCGTGTTTTTGCCAGAGTTGAAAGATTGTCTGCGCACGCTCTCCTGTGGGCGCGCATGAACGCAGTTTGTTTAAACGTTGTCAACAAATGCGACCAATCGGGCCCCTCGTGCCACATGCGGAAATCATTCGAACACCATTGCGCGCGCCCTTGTGGGGGAGGGGGGGGGGGGGGGGGGCGCGATCCCAGTCGCGGAATGCCATGCTGGCCACTCGCGCGCGTGCCCCGCGCGCGCATGTCGAACTCCTTCCAGCGCCTTCATCGCCGACGCGAGGGCGCAGTCGCCGTCAGCGGCGCGATCCGCATCGGCGCCGTCGTTGGCCTTGACGCAGTCATTGCTATGGTCGTCGCCATCATCGCCAAAGTCACCATCATCGCGTCTGCCGTTGTCGACGTTTCCACGACGCCGCGCCCGCCCAAGCCAACTACTCGCACCGAAGTGCCCGCCGGGAGAAGCCCGGCGGCCAACGCCGCCGCGAGCACTTGCCGGCTAGCGCGGCCGCAGAGACGCACCCGCCGTTATAGCAGCCGCTTGGGCGTTGCAAGCCAAGGCACGGGTGGGCGCGCGAGATGATTGCGCGAGCAGTTGAGTTGACAGTTTTAAGATTCCCAGAAAGTAATTGCACGACGCACCTTGCTCCGCGCATATTTTTCTTTCGCAGAAGAACAGATCCCCCCCCAGGATTATCGGTTTCCCTTTTCGTATTGCAATTCATGCGATTCTGCCCCATCGCCCATCCTTGATATGGGTTTCCACCATCCCACGGGGGCTTGTTTCCGCCTCCCCCCGCCGTCCTCTGAACAAGATACTATGCGCGTGCATTCGTTTATCGCAAATTATCCGTTGTCTAGGATGCCTTGCAAACGACGAGGCGATGTGCACGCGCTCGCGTTGTCGCGCGCGCGTGCCACAATTATTCAAAAACCTGTTTGTCCCCGCGAGGATTTCAAAATCTGGCGCCCAATAACCGTGCAAAACACCCGGTTTCGCAACGCGTTGCCGAAGAGAAAAGTTTGCGCGCGCGCCCTTGCGAAGTCAAACCATAGGTCACCCAACGTGTCCAGAAAATGTTACCAGGCGGTCCTCGCGCGCGCCCGTGTCGAAATCGTTCGAACGCCCTTGCGCGCGCAATCGTGAAGACCCCCTGCAACAACGGGGGGGGATCCGCACGCGCGCGCGCGCGTCGTCGCGCGCGCGGAATCCGTCGAAAGATCTTCAGGTTCGGAGCGATGTCAAAACCGAGCGTCCAAAAAAACGAATACAACCATGGTTTCGCAACGTCAGTTTTCAAACATGCGCGCGCTCGCGCTCTTGCGAATTCTTCCGAAAACCGCGGGTGTGTCAACATTATCACGAACTTATGCCAAGCGGGCCTCTCGCGCCGCATGCCGACATCATTCGCGCGCCCGTGCGCGCGTTCGCGTGGAGGGGGGGGGACCACGCGGGCCCATCTCGCGCGTCGGCGGTGCGCGCATGTCGAACTCTCTTGCCGACGCGAGGGCGCCGTCATCGTCGCCGTCGTGATCAGTATCGGCAACCGCACTGGCCGCGCCGTCGTCGCTGTCACCATCGCCACTGACATCTTTATTATCATCGTCGCGTCCACCGTCGTCGACGTCGCCACGATGCCGCGCCCGCCCAATTCGCCGACTCGCACAGAAGCGCCAGCTGGAGGTGCTGAGCACTTTATCCGTCAGTTAATTACGTCCCCCCCTCCCTCACTCCCAAGCAGAGCTAAACGCTCATGCTGACTGAAGCAGAGCTCCAGCTTAGACTTCTTAAACTCACACGCCGGATCGGCGGATTTGAGAGGACGGCAAACCGGCCGGAGCATCAGCGCACGCTTGCTCAACCCAGCCCCTCTTCGTTTCCTTGCCTCCCTCGAGTGCTTGGCCCGCCCCGAGGCTGTGAGCGCGGCGCGGTGCCCAGCGCCACGCTAGTGCGTGCGCCCGCTGCACTCTGGGCCCAGCGCTTTATCGGAGGCGACGATAGGGGCGAATAGTTAGCCCAGGGGCGGGCATTATTTATATTCGCACTAGAGCCTTGCCGAAGGCATGGACCATCGGCGCCCTTGGGTACATGTATCGTTCTCTTCTGGGCGATTCGCCTCCATCGTCGCCCCCGTTTTGGGGCGGAGGCGCGCCCGCAGGCGTCAGTCAGCATAAGCAGAAAGGGCCGTCCAGGTCTCCGAGGATATGTGCTGTGCACTCCTGGCGTTTTTCCTCGGTTTCGGAGTTTGGGGCCCCGTGACAATCCAAGGTGGATCAGGGAGGGAAAACTCGGGAGCAACAAAAAAAGACGTACACGTACCTGAATCCACGTTGGTTTCGAGAGCACGCGTTGCGCGAACGCTCGTATCAGGCGGCCGGTGTCGTGGGTTGGGGGGCCGTGTTCATGTACACGGCTTGGCGCGTACGGCTTTTCTAGGCTCCCTAAAAACTACTCCCGAGGGAAGGAGTCGGGTTCCTGGGCCGCGGATTGAACAAAAACATATCGGAGGATATGTGGGCCTCTCGGAGGTTGATTGGACCCCCCACCTTTTCCAAGTATTGACGACTTGCCATCTTGCGGGTCTCGAGAGGGCGTTGCCGCCGCAGATTTTGTGGACCTGTGCCTGCCGGGGTTGGTCCTGGGTCGTTTTCACCAACGGGTGTTTTGCGAAAGGGGGGTCTGTCCACCTCCGATCTGGATGAAGGACCCTGAAGGTCTTTCGTCGTTTCAGGCGCGCGTGACATGGTGCCAGCGCCGACATGGGCCACCTGCTCCCGCCCGATACCCTCGGGCCGACCCGGATCTGGGGGCCACATGCGGCCGACCTCTTCTTCCCGGTCCCCACCGCCACCTGGCCCCAGCGTGGGAGCTTCCGTGCGGCTGGTCCGGCTTCGCGGCGTGGCCCTGGCCGGCCCGGGTCTGCGTTGTCCTCGGGCCGCTGGTTGGCCCAAGGGCCATTCAACGACAGCCGAAGGACGAGAAGGCGGTCCACGGGGAATGCCCCGCCTGGGGTCCAGGGCCCGCCTCGTCCGGGACCCGTGCCGGCGCTTCTTGACGAGCGCGTCCCGGACTTTGACGGTCCAGTGTTCGTGGGATGCTTGCAGAGGGAGCTCGCGTCAGATTTCAGAGTGGGTCTCGGCATTTTCCTGACGGCCCCGCCAGGCCAACCCGAGTCCCCCGAACCCGAGTCTTACGTACCCCCGATTCTTCAGGACCCGCGGCTCACAGGCTTCCGACGATCGTCAGGAGGGCGGACCTGGCAGATCAGCCGTCCTCAGTTTTCTCGTGCGCCCATATTCCGTGCTGCCATCGAAGGAAGCGAGCTTCCAGGATCGGGATTCCAAGTCGTTCGACATGTCGGGGCAAGCCTAGGGTCTCTGAAGGCCCGTGAACCGATCCCTTGCCATGGTCCCGTGGGCTGGCTTTCCTTCCAGACGAATCGTTTCACGGGCCTGGGACCCGAATCTATCTTGCAGAAGTCACAATCGACGAACAGTGTTTGCATGAAACAGCATCACGTCGCTGTTGGCTTGAGGCTGGATCCCGATTGCAGCCTTTGAGCAGGGGAGGCAGACCTACCCTGGAAGGAGAGGATCGAAAAGTGGGCAAAGTGGAGGGAATGCCGTACTTCTTGAAACAGTTGTCCCCTCATCATGCTGATATTTGATCAGGGGGCTGCTTATCCTTACTCGGGCTCCTGTGTGGCGGCGTTGTGTGAAGATATGAATGCACATACATACATACATACATACATACATACATGCATATCTACTTGTCTACCTACCTACCTACCTACCCACCTACCTACCTATCTACATACATACATACATGCAAACAAACATACATGCATGCATACATACTTCCATATATGCATCGACGCATGCATGCATACACACATACATACATACATACATACATACATACATACATACATACATACACATGCATACACGCACACACCGCTACGTACATGCGTACATACAGGCATTCATGCATCCATGCATACATACAGACAGACACACCGACAGACAGACAGACAGACAGACAGACACACATACCAACATACATGCATACGTGCTTGCAGCCATGCATAAATATATATATATACGCACATACATGCATACATGCATATACACATGCATACATACATATATGTATATATACACATGCATGCATGCATGCATGCAATCATACATACATACATGCATGCATACATACGTTCATACATCCATATATATACACGTACATACATACAAACAAACATACATACACATACGTACATACATACATGCATGCATGCATGCATACATACACACATACATACATACACACATGCATACATGCATACATACATATACACATACATACATGCATACACACGTTCACGCATACATGCATACAGACAGACATACATACATACATGCATACACGCATTCATATATGAATGCCGACTCACCTACATACATACATATACATATAGACACTACATACATGCATACTCGTATGGTCCCACATACATGCACATGCACAGCTTGAGTGTACACATGCATACGCATGTATAGACATGCGTGTATACAGTACATGGGCAGTGGGCACTTGTTTGTACATATGTGTGTGTGAACATGAGTGAGTGAGTTTCGATGGGCAGATCTGCCCGCTAGGGGGGAGACGGGCCGAGGTCTCTCTCAGGTGCAACGTTCGTGGGGGGGGGGCTCAGGAGCGGTGCATCGATTCCCAATCGTCCATTCATCCATTGCATCGGCCGGGCGTGTCTGAAAAGTGGGTTGACCCGAGTAGCCCGACTAGCCCGATGAGCCGAGTTACGCATACCCCGACAAAAGACGGGGGGGATAGGTTCAGGGGTGGGCGTCTCGAAGCCCAATTGCCCATTCATCGCCGATAGAGGCCCGATCGCCCACCCCGCCCAGGAACGTTCGGATTCGCGATCGGGCGCCTATCGCCGATCTATCGGCGATGGATCGCCTATTCCAGATTGATGTTTTCCCCCCTGAGCCAGTCGGTCCCCAACGTTGCCCCTCACGGAAGCGCCTTTCAGGGTTCATTTTGATGTGATCCCGGCCTCCCACATGTGGTCGGAGAAAATAGTGTCGGAGGATCGCGCCGCGTCGCCCACGCATCTTCGGCTTCGCCGATGCATCGTCGATGCTTCGGCGATGCGGCACGATCCTGTGACCTTGTTCACCAGGACCCCATCTGGGAGGCCTCTACTTTCGATCCGCTTAACCATGTTCGGCATGGACTTTCGGGATGACGCGCCAGCCCCTGGAAAGGGGTCAAGACCTCCAGGTGGCCACGGGGTAAAAAAGATACGACGACGGGGCTCGGGGTCCGCCTCCCCCGAAGCCAGTGGGTCTTGAATCTCCCCCCTTCCGGAGCCCCGTTCGATCCGATCGACTCGATGTCGGCCCGATTCGTTCCCGTTCGGTTCTGGTGTTCCGACGGCCTGGCGCGGCCCGATGCTTTGCGTGATGCTCCCGCTGCATCCTGGCGCTGCTGATCTAGTTCGGTTGCGACTCCGTGCAAAGGAGGCAGAGGAGGAGGAGGAGGAGGAGGAGGAGGTGGTGGAGGAGGAGGAGGAGGAAGGAGGAGGAGAGGTCTGCTGATCCTGTCCGATGCGCACATTCCGATTCGATCATATTTCCCGATTCCATGCTGACTGATATTGCATCCCCCTTATCGAAGACGCCTACGGCGGATCACCGCCGCCCCCTGCCCTGACAAGTCGCCCATGTGGCCGCGCCTTGAGGCAAGAGCTCTGCCAGGCTATCGGACCATGCGTTCCCCCAACCGTTGTGGAAACCCTTCGGGGAACGTTTGGGGGAGATGGCAGGGAAGATCAGGATGAGGAGGAAGAGGCGGCGGAGGAGGAAGAGGACGCGGCATCTTGGGAGCCTCTGGGGGCACTCTTGGGGCCTCCTGGGGGCTTCCTGGGAGCCTCTTGGGGGCATCTTGGGGGCCTCCTTGGGCCTATTGGGGGCCTTTGGGGGCTTCTCGGGGGCCTCTTTGGCCGTCTTGGGGGCCTCTCTGGGCCGACTTGAAACCCTCGTGTGGTGCTCCAGGGCCGTCTTGGAGGCCATCTTGCCCGTCTTGGAGGCCTCCTGGGCAGTATCTGGGCCCTCTTGGGGCTGTCTTGGGAGCCTTTTGGGCCGTTCTGGGGCCATTCTGGAGGCCTCTTGGGCGATCTTTGGGGGCTCTTGGGCCGTCTCGGGCCATCCGAAAACCCAACAGATGCAAATCCTCTTCGAGGCTTCTTGAGCTGTCTTGGAGACCTATTGGTGACATCTTGGGCCGTCTTGGGCAATATTAAAGCCATCTTGGGCCGTCTTGGTGGGCTCCTGGTCCGTCTGACGCTGTCGGAAGCTGTCCTGGGGGCCTCTCTGGGCCAACTTGGCGCCCCCTTGGGGTACTCCAAGGCCGTCTTGGAGGAGATTTTGGGCGTCTTGGAGGCCTCCTGGGCAGTCTGGGGGCCGTCTTGGGGGCCTCTTGGGCCGTTCTTGGCCATCCCGGAGGCCTCTGCGATCTTTCTGGGCTCTTGGGCCGTCTCGGGCCGTCAGGAGGCCGAAACGAAGCAAATGCCAACATCATTGAAACAACTCAAGGAAGATCCGTGATGTTGGCCTCTTCGTGCCTTCCTGGAGGCTCTATTGGAGACCTCCTGGGCCGTCTTGGAGACCTCTTGGGTGCCTCTTGGGCCGTCTTGGACCATATTAGAGCCATCTTGGGCCGTCTTCCTGGGCTCCTGACCCATCTGGCGCCGTCGGAAGCCGTCTTGGGGGCCTCTCTGGGCCAACTTTGGGCCCCTTGGGGTGCTCCAGGGCCGTCTTGGAGACCATCTTGCGCGTCTTGGAGGCCTCTTGGGCTGCCTGTAAGCCCTCTTGGGGCCGATCCAGGGGGACTCT